GTGTGCCTTGATCCAAGTCAGGCGGGGACCAAGCCCCTGAGTGAGGCAAGTGACGTAGCAGCGGGACCAGCAGGAAGGCAGGAGGAGCCCAGAACCCCGGCTGTCACAGCACTGGGAGCAGCAGCTCTGGATCCAGGGATGCACGGGGCGGTGTGGCTGGAACTGGGACTCTCTTGGGTAAGGCCCAGGTGCTCTCCCTGGGTGGTGAGTTTCTTTGATAACCAGATCTGAGAAGGGCCGCCTTTCAGTGGGCGGCCCAGGACTCCTTACCATGCTGCCCCAGCCCTAGAGGGGCCTGTCTCCAGTCAGCCGAACCCCTCCGGGAGGGAGGCGCCGCATCCCCTGGACCTCTCAGTCTGGGGCGTGCTCTCTTGTCATTGCATGGCCACCAGCACTAGCCTGTTAGCTCCTGAGCCCCCTGGGGCTACTTTACTGTCTCCCTGTAGCTCCCCTAAGAGCTGCTTTAGCCTGTGCTCCACTTGTAATAAAGTCCCAAGGCAGCTGAGTTTAAAGACACCATTATGCATTATGGATAAAGGGCAGGTCGCTCTCCCCCACTGGCCAGCTTGGCATCTGCACTTGCTACGTGGCATCCTCTCCCCTGGGCCCCAAGGCAAGCAAGGTGCCCCTTGGTGTCCGCAGCCCTGGGAACCGAGCACCAGGGCTTCTGGCTGCAGCCGTGGAACGGCGTTCTTGCTGGGACCCCACTACAAACTGACGAGCATGAATGGCCTGCTTCCTCCCTCCATCTGCTAGCAGCAATTAAGATGCTCCCCAACGCTGGGAATGTGGGGTTAATTCTCTTCTTTTCTGCCTTTTTTTTTTTCAAATATTTATGAAGAGATTTTCCATTTATCCTGACACATCTTCTCCACTGTGGGTGTCAGCTGGGAGGGCTCAGACAACAAACTCCAGAAGGTATTTTCCCCAAAGCAGCATCTGGTTCCCTTGGCAAGTGTGGCGGGTGGTTTGCTGGGAATTGGCCGAGGCAGAGGGAGGAGGAGCCGCGGGCTGGCACAGCCCCCTAGTAGGGCTCTCTGGCTCTGGGACGCCCCAGTGCATGGGGCTGGGCATCCCCAGAGAGCAGAGCATGTCTGCCACTTGTCATCCCACAGCCCCAGGTCCTGTGTGAACCGGGACACAGGACCCTTGTGAGCACCACACCTGCCTCTCACCCTTCAAGCCCTCTGGTCTGATGCCTATGCTCCCCAACTCTGCAAGGCAAACCACCTGGGTGGTGACCAGTTCCCCACTGCAGACTCCAAGGGTCTTCTCTGTGACTCTTAGCAATGGGGCAGGTTGGTGGAGGAGAAGATGCTGGCTCGGCCCCTGTGTCCCCAAGCTCACCCATCCCAGGAGGCCTTCTGGAGGCAGAGCTACAACTCTTGATCTTGTTCCCTTGATGGGCTTGTTCCCTTGATGGGCTTTTTCCACTTGCAGGGTGGGCAGATGGAAAAATGGCAAGACAGGATGACCCACACTAGGGGCAGGAGTCAACTTGGTGGCAGGCCTAGAGGGGGCTATGAGAGCCCTGCAGAATCTTCCAGACGACACCAGCTCAACCGCTGCCTTCCATGCTCACTCAGAGGTGCAGCCAGCCAGGCTGATGCCCGGAGCTCCAGCCCTCCATCCCGTTAGTTACCAAGAGACTGAGCCAGGCTGTATCTGCCGGTGATGAACTCAATTGAAAACCAAATATTTTCAGATGAAAACCAAACACTCTCCAGGAGAACTTGGGTCCAAAGGCATCATGGCTTTGTGCCCTGGTTCTTGTCTGCGCTGCCCATTAGGAATCACTTGGGAGCTCTAAAAGATATTGATGTCCAGGTCTCACTCCAGAGTGGTCAGAATATCTGGGAAAGGGGTTTATATTTCTAAAATCTCCCACTGTCAAGGGCATCCAGAGTTAGAAAGCATTGAGCTATGGAAAGAATACATTCCCTGGAGGCAGGAAAGAATATATTCCTAGGCTGGAAACCTAACTCTTTTGTTTACTAGCTGTGACCTGGAATAAGTTCCCTGCCCTCTTGAAGCCTCAGTTGCACCATCTATAAAATGGAGATAACAATACCTTTCTGCAGAACTGTTCCCTGCAGAACCACCTCAGGGCCTCACCTCTGGGCACAGAGGCTGCCAGATGGCAGTTCAGTCATGGGGCAGTTCTATTCTGTCAGGTGATGACACTCCCTACAGACACAGCACCAAAGAATATTTCTCCCTGGATTTCAAAGGATTGAGAGCACTTAAAATATCTCTTCTAGGAAGCCAATTTGTTTCCCATTCCCTGCTTATCTGGAAATGGTCTGTTATCAGATCCAGCCGAGTGCAGAGCCAGATGCAAGTGTCTGGAGAATTTGCTCTGCCTGGTGCTGCTCTGGGCCAGGGCAGGATGGAGAAGGCCGGAGGTGTACAGCGGTCATGCCAGGGATCAGGTGCTTCTGGGCAGACACACCTGAAAAGACCCCAGTGGTTCTGCAGACCACCTGAAGAGGACCCCAAAGGCCTGGGCACATCACGCATTCATGCAATAAATATGACTTCTTATTTCATATTATGTGCATCTACCGGTGACATCTACTGATGTCAGACCACCTTGCCTGGGACAGCCGGGCACTGATTTGCTAGAACCCATTCCAGATACTCCATACATCCTTCTCTTCAAATCTCACCACAGCCTTTTGAGGGGAGGTGCCACTAGTCATTTGATAGCTGGGGACTGAGTGACCTGCCCCAGCTCTTCTCCTGTACCACGCAATGTCACAGCTCTCTGGACAAGAGAAAAATTTGAGGAGAGTTTTGACAACTGACTGCAATGATTTTAACAATGTCTTTGTCACCCAGAAGATCCACATTCATAGGTTCCCAGGGGACAATATGAGCCAATAGGGAGGGGCCCCACTGAGGAAAAAGCCAATATTTCTGGATTAGATAAATTAATGGGTTTATACTACTACGAAGGATGCTTGAGTCTGGTGAAGTCAGCGGTTGTGGGAAGATGAGGATATCAAGTAACTTAAACTTAATTGTTAGGGAGTATTAATAAGCAAGGCAATAAAAGTTACCATTTATTTAGAACATATATAAATCAAAATTATAAGCATCAGACTGCTGAGGCTCAACACTGGGCGACACTTGACATGTGAATTACCATCTCCATGCCTTTGTTACCTCTTTGGTAAAATGAGACCAATAATAGTGTCTACCTTAAGGAATTTTAGAAAAAATCAAATCAGTTAACATATGGCACAGCATTTAGAATATAGCCTGGTACGTATGAAGTACTCAGTAAACATTAGCTATTAGCATTTTTGAGTTAATGCTTTCCCTTGGCTTCTTTAATCTGCACAAAAAATCCCATGAAAAAATCCCATGAAACAGATCCCATGAAATGGTTCCCATTTTAATGGGGTCCAGAGAGGTTGAGCCGCTAGTCCAAGACCACACAGCTGCAAACAGCAAAGCAGGACTGGAAACTCAGGTCAGCCTGAACTGAATGATCTTTCTTTTCCACACCATCAAAAGGCCTTGGAGAGAAAAGCAGCAAAGACCCAGCAGCTCTTCAATGACAAACCGAGCAGGAATAGCTGACAGAGAGGGCAGAGTGCAAATTTTCACTTGATATCCATGATTCAGAAAGACATCTGCAACATAAAGCAAGCCCTCCCACTCTGTAGCAAGCACAGCCCCAAGACGGCCAGGAGCAACTCCCCCCCCACCCCCCCCCCCCCCAAGGCACTGAGGACCGCAAGAGGCAGGGGAATGAGAAGGAAGGTGGGGCCCAGAAGGCCAAGGGAGCTGCAGCTTCCCTGAATCGAACGTTTCATTCAGCAGCCAGGCACTTGGCAGCAAAGTTGCACATGAAATGCATTTTCTCCCAGCTCCTGCACAAGGCTGTTATATTTTAGGAATTAAAAGCTCTGCTTTGGTAAACGCACAAATGACACATGGTAGTCGAAACATGTGTCGTCACTGACCACCTTCCCCACCCCATCCCGCACCCCCTTTTTCAAATGTTCCAGCCTCCGAGTGTGGCTGATTTCTCGGAGTGCTTCTCAACCCTTTGAGAGTCGGCTCGGTTTCAGAGGCAGGAGGTGGACAAAGGAACCCTCGGCCTGTTTGTCCTGTAGAGTGTTTTGAAAAGAATGTTCTCAGAATAACCAGCTACCTCTCAAGCGTGCTGGGCCGGAAGCTTTGGCCAAGCCAGGCTGTTCATATCAATATGCTCATCAACAGGGCTGGTTCTGGAACAAATTTCAGCAGGAGACACCACCTAGCATGGTCACCCAGCACAGTCCCTAATGGGATCCAGTTTGAAAACACACAGGTCTTGAATAAGCCCACATGGACTTCACTCACAATTGACTGTTATGTTCGCTGTTTGAAACTAACTGCAGGGCGCTGGGTCCCACAGTAAGTGGAAAATGCCCGGGAGAGGGCAGCAGCCAGAGGCCATAAGGGACAGGGTACCTGGGTCAGGGGCTGGCCAGGGCAGGTGCTGGGAGCAGGAGCCAGGAGGGAAGGGGAGGAGGGTGGGCTCCTAAGACCAGTGGCTTCTAGCACCTGCCATCAGCCTAGCTCACCCCTACCTGCCCGGGAAGTGGGAGTCTGCTCCACCCCATCCAGTTTGTAGGGTACAGCCCTTTCCTTACCTCTCCACCCCCGTGTGACTTTGACAGTCATCTGAATTTGACTTTATCTGGATACATCTGTGAAGGAGGAGTGGGGGAGGAAGCAGAGGTGGGCAGAGTGGGCTGCGGTATGGTAGCTGACAGAGCCTGGCTGTCTGTGCTCCAGGCAGAGCTGGGTTCAAATCCCAGCTCAGTCACTACCCTCTGTTTAGCTGCAAGTTCATCATCTACACAATGGGGATAAAGGCACCTTATACGGTAGTTGTCATGGTTAAATAAAATGAAACACTCAAAGTGGCACCTGGAGGGCACACGCTCCACGCTGCCTCCCTTCCCTCCGGGCTTCTAGGGGCTGCCCTGGCACGGAGACAGTGAGCATGCCACCATTTTATTTTATTGCAGAAGAGCTGAAAAAGAAGGCTGCATATCCAACCTCCATCACCTTGAACAGGATATCAGTGATAAACAAATGAAATGAAATAAACTTGAATACATAAGTCCAAGTAGCATTTTCTGATCTGTGCTCTCCCTCAGAGGAACCATCTGAAATACTGAAGAAAAAAAGAAGTCATTCTTGCAATGTGCATAATCTGACAGAGGGGAGGCTATCAGGACCAGGATCTCGGGGCATTCTTCTTGGCTACTGAGCAGCTGGGGGGGTTGCAGATAAGCCTCTACACCCAGGCAAGCCCTGGAACCTTCTGAGACTACCCCCAACCCTTGGCTATAGAAACTCGAAATCACTCTTTATGTCTATTCACCAGAGATATGGCCCAGGTTCCCCAAATCCTCCCATTAAGCCTTCTCAAATCACCAGAACCATCTGCTCTGGGCCTGGAAATGAGATATTACAAAAAGTTGCCACACAAAGGTCATTATTTCTGGAGGACAAAGGGAGGGGGGGAGGAACAAAGCTTTTAATAAAGGCTTCTGGAGCTGCTGCAGAAAGCCTCTGCGGTCCCCTGGCTGGTGGAGGGCCTCTCCCTTCTCCCCCTGACTACAGACACAGCCGACTCAGTGGCTCTGACATGCTCGTTACGCAGCATGAGCAGCCTAATACTGTATTCCTCTCCTACAGCCACTGCTCGGCTGCTGCACCCTGGAGTTGAGATTGTCAAGGGTGCTGAGCTCATTACGGCCTTGTCTTCATAGCCAAACTAAATGAAGAATTGAGGTAATTACCCAGTGATCCAGTGAGGGAGGAAGAAACAAGCTCGTGTTGAAAAAGACGGTTTTGGAGGACTGGTCCCATTGACTATCAAATATCACTCACTTTTTCAGCTGTCCAGAGAGGTTATAATATGTGTGATGTCTTGTTCCCTCCGCCAACAGTAAAACTCACACCAAGTGGCTCCCTGGAGGAAGATGCCAAGTGTCCAGTTTCTCCAGAACAAGACCAGTCCAGAGCCTCCTCCTAGGCAAGGGAAGGACACACCCCTCCCTCAGATCTGGTAGTGTCACATGGGAGAAACTTCAGGGTCCTCAGGCAGCAGTTAAATACTGCCACTTGGAGTTCTCTAATCCGGCGGAGCAGAAATTTCCAGATTTAAATTGTGCTCACCCAGGCATGCTGAATAGTCCCAGACAGCCTTGAGTTTACTCCAGCTCCATTTGTCAGCGGTCAAGTCCTTATTTGACTCCACAGTCTACACCCTTAAAACCTCAGGACCAAGCATGGCTGTCAGCTGGGTGTCCACAGAGAGAAAGGCAAACTGTGAAGCCCCCACTAGGGTCCCCCCGATTTAACTGGTAATAATAACAGTACAGCCAAGCAGTATTTGACAATGGCAAAGAGGTCAATTAAGTGTCCAAAAAACACTGGCCTTGAAGCCGCCCAGACCTGAGCTAGGATCCGATCCACCACCTTCCAGGTGTGAGAACTTTGAGCAAGTTACTTAACTTCTCTGCACCTCAGATTCCCCACGCGTCGTAAGGTGGATACTAGTGAGAATCAACAGAGAATGTAACATACGTCTCCTAAACAGTGTCAGGCTCACTGTCTCCAAAAAAGGTGGAAAAGGCAGCATTTACAGCTCATTCCACAAATGGTGGCTTCACTGTACAGGGTGAAAGGCTGCTTTTTTGATCTTCAAAATAACTGAAAGGGGGACCAGAGAGGTGTCTTTCTCTGAGGTGGTTTTGGCTTGTCCAGATCCCCCTGCTAGTCAGTCCGGGAGCCAGCTCTAGATGGCAACAGTCTTGGTTCCTGATCCAGTGCTCTCCCAACTCTCCCACTGCCCTCTCAGAATGGAGCGGTGAGAGCTGGTCGAACATGGCTCTGATGAATGATTTCTGTTCTGGCTCCCATGGGATTAACATGAGGATCCCTTGCTTGGAGGAAGGTTCCATCACCCATGTGTCATCTGTCCTACCTAGTAAGAGATTGGGGGAAGCTACTCCTCCCCACCCCCCACAGATCAGATTCATTAATCTTCCCAGAGTTCCTGAGGAAGGCTGCAAGCAGGAAGGAGTGCAGGGGATGTTCCTGAGTATCCCAGTAGCTAGTTACCTAGTAAGAGATTGGGGTAAGCTACTCCTCCCCACCCCCCACAGATCAGATTCATTAATCTTCCCAGAGTCCCTGAGGAAGGCTGCAAGCAGGAAGGAGTGCAGGGGATGTTCCTGAGTATCCCAGTAGCTAGCTTGGGATGTCTGTGTCCACACCACGTTTCATGGAACCCTAGATCCACAGAGGTGCTTTGCGGGCTGCAGGGGGTGGTATGGGTAGGTGGGCACAGGTGCTCGGGGTCCCTCATTCAACCAGAGCAGTGCCAGCTCTTACCTACAGGGCTAACTGCTGGGTGACCTGGTTTATTTATGTTGGGCTTCCGTTTAAGATTTAATTTGAAGGAAAGATTTGCTCCTAGAAAAGAAAAGCTTGAGATTTACCGTTCTTGATGCTTCTGAGAACAGAACCTAGACTTAATCCTTGTGGATATTAGGGACAGAGGTGGGCAGCCCTGTTCCAAGCCAGAGCAACCCATCTCACACCTACTGGTCCACTTAGACAGACACTGGACACCTGCTGTGCGCAGAGCCCCAGAACAGGTGGCAGGTGGGTAAAAATAAGATAGAGGTGATGATCCTTGTCCTTAGAGACTTTGGAAGGCAGAACAGACACCTCAAAGGCAGGAGCAGAGACTAACAAAAACTAATTAATGCAGCCAGTCTGCTCCTCAGGCTATATTACCTTGTAATGTGTTTTTCCCTTTTATTTATGTGTGCTATTGCCCCCAACGAGACTATAATTTTCCAGAGAGCAAGAAACACCTCTCACTCAACAAACATTTGTTAAGCACTTACCATATAAGCCAGACATGGGAGAGGCTCACAATCTCGTGGGAGAGAGAACAGTGGTTCCAGCACGGGGTAATTAATTTTCCTCGGGGAGTGGGAACCTGGGAAGGTGCCACCAACGAAGTGAAATTGAAGCTTCGTCTTGCAAGAAGAATAGCAGCTCACCAGGTACCTCCTTCCATTTCCTGGGGTCCAACGCAGCATCACACAGGACACTCCTCAGAGATGCCAACCACAGGAGCACTGGAAGGTGTGAAGTGAAGGAACCCTGGGCATCCTGGCCTTGCTCTCTAAGGGCCTCCTGGAGGGATGAGTTTGGAGCTGGGTTTGGGAGGAGGAGCCTGGACTGGCTCCCAGAAGGAGTATGTCCAGGTTGGGACCAAGCCAGCAGCAAAGGCAATTAAGTGAAGCCAGCAGAGCTTGGGGCAGAGGCTGGCAATGAAGGGGAGGAGGTGAGAGAAAGCCAGTTAAGCTGGAGTGGAGCGCAGGCAAAATGAAATAAAGGTATCCAGAAGGAGCCGAGAGCAAGAGGGAAGCGTCTGCGGGGCTGGAACGTTTGGATCAAATACACCTGCGATGTTCTGGACTCTGCTGATAACCTGGCACCAAACATGGGATCCTGGACAGGCGCCCCATTTTCAATACCAGCCTCACCACCCCTCTAGAAAGCAGGGATCCTATGTTCTCCCAAAGGACCTCTGGCTGACACCTCCCGTCTTCCTCAACCCCAAAGTCCAGGTCTTCCCAGCCCCTGCCACGGGATCTGGAAGAGTTGGCCAGGACAGGATCCTGGGGCAGGAGGCGCCTGGGTTGGAGAGGGGGGTGGCCGGGGACGGCAACGTCTCCTAGCTGTGACCCACATGTTGGGCTTCTGGAAATCTGACCTGAACACTCACACTCAACCTCTATACCTTCATCCCCAGGTAGAGCACAGATATGTACAAGGGGGAAGGGGGGGACGCCACACGCGCGCGCGCGCACACACACACACGAATCCCCAGGGTCGTCTAAGGGGAGGCCGGGTGTCCTGGGTTGGGTAGGAGAGGTGGCTGGAGAAGCGGTTTCCTAACCCTTCGGTCCTCCTGGGGTACCCTCCCTCGGCTTCCTTTGCTCTGATAATGTGAATGAAGCCTGGGAGAGGAGGAGAGAGCGCGCGAGCGCGGGGAGG